AGCTCGTCAAGGGTATGTCCTTGCACCTTCCATCCTTGACGGAAGCGGATATGCGCGAGACAGATCGAGAGCCAAGTGAAGACAGCCGAGAGTGCAGACAAGGCAAGTAGCCAGTTGAATGCAGCATCTTGTAGCCTGCGGTCCGCACCAGCAAGGAAAGCGAGAAGACCAAGAGCTGAGGCAAAAGCAATGGAAACAAGGGGACGACCCTGACGGTCAATGTAGGCGAAGATCCTGGGGGCTTGATTCTGCTCAGCCAGTGCAGCGAGTGTGCGCGAAGAACCATAGATAGAGGAGTTGCCAACTGAGAGAACAGCAATCATGATGACGGCGTTGAAGACAGAGGGCAGCCCCTGAATGCCTGCGTTCTGGATAGCGATGACGAACGGTGAGGCAACAGCGTCGGCATCGTTCTTGTCTTGGAGCAGTCGCTTATCATCGTAGGGAACTAGCAGTCCGACGATGGTTAGGGAGACGATGTAGAACAACGAGATGCGCCAGAAAACCTGCTTGACGGCAGTGGGAAGAGACTTGCGTGGATTGGCCGTTTCCGCTGCAGCAAGACCAACAAGCTCAGTTCCAGAGAAGGCGAATGCGGCGTTGACAAAAACACTGCATAAGCCCTTGAATCCATTGTTGAAGGGACCTGGGTCGCGCCAATACATGCCACCAATATAGCCTCCGTCTGGACCGCCACCTATGTTGATGATAATACCAAGGATGATAAAGCCGATAACCGCTGTGATCTTGATAATGGCAAAGACAAACTCGGCTTCACCATATCCTTTGATACCAAACAGATTGATGACAACGATCAAGACCAGGAAGACGGCGACCCAGGCGTTGTTGTTGACCTTGTCACCATTCCAATATTCGATTGTGAAAGTAGCAGCGACAATTTCCAGTGGTAGTACGACAAGCCATTGAAGTGCATAGTTCCAACCCATGGCGAAGCCCCATGCAGGATCCAAGAAGCGTGTCGAGTATGCCGAGAAGGAACCAGCGACGGGAAAGAGCACTGCCATCTCGCCCAATGCGTGGACGGTAGTGTACAGCATGACACCTACAAGGCAGTAGCAGATGACGAGCGATGCTGGACCACCGTTTGCTAGTGCTTGCCCTGAGCCGACGAATAGACCGGTACCTGGGAAAGTCAGTCGGCGGACCCCGCTTATTAGATGCATGCCAAACCATACCTATAGAACCACCGATTGCTATCATCTGCAAATGACGACCTTTTAGTCTCCGCGCAAGTGGTGAGTTTGCAGTGTTCGCTGCTGCAGCCTCTGGATCGAAGACGTTCCCGTCGGCGCCTAAGCTTCCCTTTGGCGTCATCGTCATGGCAAAATTCGGGTCCCGTTTGAAGCTCTCGATAACCCTCCTACCCAGTCCATCCTGGTACCGTGATGATTCGCCATAGTAGTCGGACCCTTGCGAGGCTCTCCCAAAACTCTTCTCGGTGCCGTACATGTCGTCGTCTATCGTCATGGTGGCTAGGCGCAACGGCGCGATAACAGGCGACGAAAAAGAGTGTAATTTGCAGCTGTTCTGCACGTCGGTTGGTGTCGCTGCAGTGCAGCCGTTGGAGGTATCTGCTTTTTCCTGTGCGATGGGCGCAGGGGCGGGATATGAGTGCGATGCTGACGAACAGGCTACTTGGGCTTAGGCCTATTCTTGAGGCGCGCGAGCTCAACTACGGAACTGAGGCGCCCAGGGTCAGTGTCCTTTCCAGAGTGCCGGGTAGGGACTATCGACTAGGATGTGTAGCGGCCGGGGTACATCTGGATTTGGCCTAGGCGTGGGAGCGACGTTATCGCGGCGTGGCGCATCTATGGGTTCAGTACATACACTGAGCCTGTCCAAGGGCAGAGTCGTGCAGAAGTGATGTGACTATTGGTGACAATACCATCGAACGACGTGCCTGGACTGCTGAAATGTTTGCACGGAGCACGGCGAAGTGACTGACATCCCTTATCGACGGCACAATGTCGCACATTCGCTCCTTCTTCGCTGAGTTCGCTCTTTCCGCCTCCACTCTTGGGAGCGGCAGACACCGACGAACCGCCACAGGTCCAACAGCCCTAAATACCGCAGACCAAATGTCACTCTCGGTCACTTAACTCTATTCTACAGCACTCCAGATTTGCGTCTCGCGTGTCGGACTAAGTAACGTCTTTAGGCGCTGGCTGCCGGCGCTACATTCGACGGCGACCTCGGTGTCGAGTCCTGGTGGCGCTTGCGCAACTTCCCCAAGTCCAACGGTGCACGGGCCGCCCTTATCTCCAAGCCACCAGTACTGTTGCGGCATGTGCGCGCAAGACATGCCACCAACCCCACGCCCAAGGCTTCCAACGTCCCCAACCACCCTTTCAATACCCCCATCGCAATCTTCAGATGCTCCTTGCTGCATTGCTTGACATTTCGAGCTTCTTTATCGTGACTACGACCGGCACGACTTCGGACTCGACCTTTCACAACACCCGTTGACCCGTCCCGCTGCCGCAGCATTGGCGCATAGTTCTACATGCTGCTTTAGGCACTGCCCCTTCATGCTCCGTCACGAGCTCGCTTCCGGCCTGGAACGTCTACGAAACTAGCACCCTAGTAAATGCTCGGCTCTACCGTCTGAATGGCGACGCGATGGTCGACATGGATATCTGGCCACCCTGCAGCCTGCAGCTCGCAAATCAGCCCAGCCATTAGCTTACTGTCCCATTATGTGTACCCATCACGCGCGGCCGTATGGAAACCTCCATGATCGCGTCGCGTCGGTAAAGACGGGTAAATCATATTACGTCTTCCCGATCCATATCGCTTGATGACCCCTCTGACGGCCCTTATGAATGCATCCTGCCATATGCAGGGGCTACCAAGTATTTCAATGCTTCACAATCTAACCTCATGTTCATCCGATGCAGGTACAAAGCCTAAACATCGCTTGGTGTTTGAACGCTGAACTCTTGAGGACGCGCATTACGACGAAAGGATCGCACCAACACCGCGCCGCAATCTCCTTTGACTTGGGTGCGTTATGCCTGTCGACCGACCCAGCTTTGGAGAGGACGTACACCAGCAGTACGCCCCGCACACTATCGTCATGTAAGAACACAGCTTCGCTCATTGCGAATCAATATACATGTGTGTTACCTAACCCTTGTACCTTTTCTGCATCAGTCAAATATCTCCACCAATGCATCTGCAAAATCCAATATCTTACCTCATCAGTTGCTGCCGTCCCTTCTCTTTCACCAACTCGATATCCGTAAAATCTCACATGTGCAATTTCATTTGCCAAGCATTTATGGACACGACGCGATGTCGTTGGGGAGTGCGATTTATTACTGGTGTGGTCAGAAAACGCCCCAACCCACATGGTAAGCCACCACGGGTACCTATCACACGGTCGCAACGCCTTTTCCCCATGTCATTCGTCGCCTGTATCGACAACGCCTCCCGAGGTTGTCACATGGAACCTTACCAACTCTCCACACGAGCACGTCATTATTGTTCATGGTCCCGCAGGCGAATCTGGTCAATACTTGGCTTGTGCAAGAAGCTTCTACCATTGTCTACAGTGTAGCGAGGGCGCACGCCGTTTATGCACTGATGCACAGACTGATCTTCCCGGCTTACCTTGCATCGTCCGAGGAAGCAGCTCATCGAAGTGGCGTACTTGTCACTCTTTTTCCCTTGTGATCGTCTTGAGCGCTGACAACTTGAGAAACATGCGTCTGCTTTAAGGACACAATACTACAACCCTTTCTTTCCATCTGGTCTAGCTATCCCTATCAAGAATCGTGTACTGCGATAACTCTGGAATCCCATGTCTACTGTTTCATGGCCCTTGCGGCTCTCAGCGTACCACAGCATTACCGTACCCTTACCACCGTATGCGCCACCTCCCACATTTCGGCTGTTAGACCTTTGCCTCGTGTGCATCACATGGCAAACCTCACACATTCGGCGTCATGTCAATGCGTAGTGCGGAAGACGACCTCCGAGATCTATGATCAATAAGGAAGCTGCCATAGGCAACAAAACGTCACTAATCTAACTCCACTGAACGAGTAGTGCGCTTTCGACATGTCGGTGCGAATGTCACCGACATAACCTTCAGCCGCAACATCGGTACTTTTCTGCAACGAAGATCATTCTCGGAACTTTGTCAAGACCAGATGTCGTACGTTGTTGCACGACGTATCCAAATTCGCCATCGACTCCGACGCCGCATATACATCACACCGCCTCTAAAAAGCCAGTGTGCAACGAAAAAGCTTACATCGAGCGCAAGTATATCCTTACTGATTCAACTGCTGTACTTCCATGTGTATGTGTGTACACGTGTCGTTGTACGACGTCGTCTTGCATTATCGATTATCGTTGGTTCCGGTACTTTGAGATCGTATCCAAGGAAAAGTATGGTTATCATAATGTTTGAATGAAAAACTTATTGGCTGGGTGCGAATGAAGTCAGTTTTGGCCGGTATGTGCTCGTACGACGAGGCCACAACTACCTTTGTGCAATACCGACGTCGATTCGTCGACAGAGTCCAGGCTGGCTGCTTCTCGGGTATATACGCAACTGCAACAAGGTCAGCTTACAAGATGGAAGCTGCCGGAGCCCAGTATGAAGATCGCCTAGAGATCTAAGGGTAATTGGGATATCGCTCGAACCTCGAATGTGTTCCGGACATGCTATTATGATATTGGCGCGAGTGATAGATATGATGAGCGAAAAATGTGCATAGTATAAGTACGTATCTATGAGATTAGAATGAGTAGACAATATGAAATAAACATGTGTATAGGTATCCCAGAAATGGACCAACGCCGGGAATGTATGCCGTGAAAGTGCAAAAGTTCAAAGAAGTAGAAAAGAAGCGAAGAGAAGTGAACGTCCCCTACGCAACAACAACCGGGATCGGAAATGGTTGAACCTCCACAATCTCACCAAAAATCCTCAAGCCTCCTCTTCATTCTCAAACCCATCTTTCCAAATATCAAGCCTTCTCTTTGAATTCCTCTTGAGGTAGGGTCAACTGCGCAGGACCTTCTTCTTCAACAAACTCGCCTTCGCCCAATTTTCCTCCAAATGTCTCCACCTCCTCAACTTCTTCCTCTTCCTCCTCATCTTCTTCTGTGATGCCCAATATCTCTCCACTCCTACGTCCTTGTACACTCGTCCCTCTACTACCCATGCCGCTATCTCCGCTTCTGCTCCTCCATGCGCCACCGTTTGCATGGCCACCATTCAGAACACCGGTATTGACATTAAGCATGGGTCCTTTGAAAGGGCTCCTCTTCCTCTTTGCAAAGATGAGACCAGGTGATTGTGGAGGAATGCTATTTCCGTTTCCAAAAGCGGCGCTGGACTCGTTAAGGCCGGGTGGGAAGCCAGAACGTACAAGGCGAATGTTGGAAGGGAAGCTTGAGGAAGTTGGAGTCGCAGGGAGGACTTTGATGCTGTTGTGGGGGGACTTGGAGGGCTTGTGTGAGTGGCCGCTTACAGAAACAGCGGGAGAGACAAGTGAGGCAGAGGATGTGGATGAAGCTTTCGAGTGCGAATGGTGGTGGTGTGGCATACTGCGGATCGAAGACACAGATGAGGAAGTAGATTTCCGGCCTCGGAGACCACCAGAAGAACGACGATACGAGGATCGCGGTGTCAGTGGGGCAGGGGATGCCGAGAGCCTTCTCATGGAGCCTGAGCCGTGAGTTGAACCTCGGGGTCGGGGACCTGGTGTGTGTGGCATTGGCGGAGACTTGGGATTTGTATGCACAGAAGAACGGTTCGCTGTACTTTGCCTTCGTCTTGAATCTGAAGACGTGCTTGGAGGTATCTTTGGGGACTGTCCACTGCTAGCCTTTGAACCTGGCGACCGTGCTCGTTTTGACGTTTCTTTTATCCAATTCCTGAGTGACAAAAGGTGGTTGATGAACGGCTGCTTCCGGCGCCGCTTGGGCACGAAGCCATTTGGAGAGAGAAGGTCGGGGTTTGTGGACACAACTTGTAGCATGCTACTGCGAGATCGCCGCCGATCCAGATCTTTCGCGGGTAGTGGTGGACGTGAAGAAGAGTGAGATTTTCGACCTCGATGGGTATCGATTGGTGGCAGCGGCTTGTCGTCTACGGTAAGGTTGGGAGAGGTCATTGATTCCGGCAGTTTTGGAAGCTCGGGAGCACCTGTTCGGAGTTAGATCTGTTTTCATGTTGGCGGGCACAATACTAACCATGCAAGCTGCTTCGGTTGATAGTCCTGCCGCGACTCTTCGGTGTGGTTGGAGCATGTATGCCCTCTTCGTCCGACTCTCTGATGGTAGGCGCAAGTTTGTCAAGCCGGCTACTGGCAGCACTCAATCGTCTGAGGCTCTTAGCCTCTGCTTCCTTTTCTTTGCGTTTGCGCTCTCTTCTTTTCGCCTTGCGTTCTTCCTTTTCTAGTAGCAATGCCCACCAGCCAGCCAATGAGTCGCATCGTTGGGCCAGCACGTTCTCAATCACCATGTCAATATCCACACCAGCAGCACGCATACGGTGCAACACCTCCTTCTCCAATTCGGTCGAGAATGGCGCCGGCTGCTGCAGCTTCAAAATCTCCTGCTGGCGAGGCGCGTGTTCCGACAACCAAGGGTTTTGTAGTATATCCGCCAATGTAGGTCTCAAGATCGGCCGTTTTGAAAGTAGCGACGAGCACAACTCCTTTGCTTGCTGTGGAAAGTGTTCCGGGTACTTTGGTTCCTCTTTTAGTATCTTGTTCTTCGTAACCATCTCGTCGTCCTCATCGAAAGGTAGCTCGCCGACCAAAAGCGCATAGAGGATGATACCCAAACTCCAAACATCCACCTTTTCACCCGCGTATTTCTCGCCCTTGAGCATCTCCGGCGCGCTGTAACAGATGGTTCCACACCATGTCTGCAGGTAGTTGGACTTGCCCTCGTACTCGCGTGTGAATCCAAAGTCGACCAACTTGACATCGCCATGTTTGTCTAACAGTATATTCTCGAGTTTAAGGTCGCGGTGGACGCAGGACTTGTTGTGTACGTACGACACGGCACCGACGAGCTGCGTGAATATTTTCTGGACTCTGGAGGGTTCGAGCGCGCCCTTGGCTAGGAGGTAGTTGTAGAGTTCATCGCCCTGACAGTACTCGAGTACCAGCCAGACCAGCTCCTCGGTCACTATGACCTCGTACAGGCGGGCGATGTGTGGGTGTATGAATTGGCGGTGGTGATGGATTTCGCGCGCGAGATTGGCGTCGTCCTTCTTCGCGCTCTTGAGCACGACCTGTTCGTGGTGAGCGTGGTTCCTCCATGGAAACTGTGGTCACGGTACCTTTGAGCCATTGCTGAGTTTGTGCGATGCCAAGTAGACCTTGCCAAAACTCCCCTTGCCTATAAGTTTCCCCAGTGTATAGTTGCCGACGGTCTTGAGGTCGGTCGCGGCGAACTCACTGTTCCCGTGTCAGCAAATTACCGCGGGTGAAACACGCACTCGGCGCGCAAAAGAAAGGAAAAGGCTTACTCGAGTAACTGCTTATACGAATTCGCAAGCTGCTATAATTCCAGTCTCAGCATCAGTCGTGCTCGGAATGCCAGGCATGCGCCTGGATGTTTTGCTTGTTGCGGCGCACAAGCGCGGTTTGGCAGCAACGGGACAGTACATACCTTCTTCCTCTGGGCCTGAATCTCAGCCTGGGCTCTGAGATTTGACTGCATGGAATGATGCGCCGCTGCTCCGTGGTGTCGCCTGCGCAACCAGCGTCATCTATGGGTTGCAGGAGTTCGGTCTGGCGAGCGAGCGCCGCGGAAGAGAGGAACGGGTCCTGTCGCAGCGAAAGTGGAGATAGCCGCAAACGCCAGGGGCCTAGGGCGTTCGAGATGTGCGAGGATAACAATACTAGCTTTTGGCCGACCGGGGATGGCAACAAAGTGTATTAATTGTGAATACTGCGGAGGGGATGCGGCCTACCGTCAGATCTCTCCTGAGCTTCCGGTGCTGCCATGGATTCGGGGAGCGCGATCCTGGTCGCAGATCATCCACATGCCGCTTCTCTGGGAAGGGGTGGGACGACCAAGGCATAGCGACGGCTACATGGCGATGGGCGGTTTATCATTGTTTGTAGCGTACCAGTCACTAGCAGACACACGACACATTATTCAAATCAATGCCGAAGAAGTCCGGGAAGAAGTATTCGCTTCTTGCGTTGGTGTTACACAAAAGTACCTTGTACCACAAGAACCGAAATCCGAGGAACCAACATTGAGACACATCAAGTCGGCAATTATCATCTACAGTTTACTACTCGGCCCTCCGATATATGTCTGCCCTAGCCTCAGCATGTCGACGGCCTCTTGCACCATCTCGTCCACAATTTCCTTTGCAGGCTTAATATCGCCGATTACCCCCGCAACCTGGCCCATCAAGAACGGAATATCCACATCCTTCCCATCGTCCATGTCCTTCGCCAGCGGCACAATACCCGCATCCGTCAGCTTCTTGATCTCGTCCTCGCGCTCATGCCACTCTTTGATGTATTCGTTGTACTTGACGCGCAATGGTCGGCCACTGACAACTAGTGTCCGGCCTGTGTCTGTAAAGTCGGCAGTAACTACATTTTCCTTGTGCATTTGCGAGCAGCCGGCCTCAGTGGACGCGACGAAGCGTGTACCAACCCACACACCCTGTGCGCCTTGCATCAAACTGCTTGCCAGGCTGCGGCCGTTGTAGATTCCTCCTGCTGCCACTACCATGGCTGGTTGACCTGTGAGGGGGCTCTTGTATTTGCGTGCGATGTCCACGACGGATGGAATCAGGATGCTGTTCGCGATGTCCCCGGTATGTCCTCCGCCTTCTCCACCCTGAGCGCATACAATATCCACACCTGCATCTAGTGCCTTCTTCGCGTGCTTGGGGTGTCCGACCATGTTCATAATCAGAATGCCTGCTTCGTGCAGCCTCTTGATCGTTCGCTCGGGTGGTACACCAACAGCGCTGACGAACAGCTTCGCGCCATTCTTGATTGTGACTTCGATGAGATCGTCGAGCTGTCCATGTGTGTAGTCATGGTTCGTCTTTCGTGCGCTACCACCGACTTGTGGAAGCGCGAGGTCGACACCGAACGGCAAGTTCTTGTCTCGGAGGTTTGACTTGAGGTCGTCGATGATGGATTGAAGCTGTTCAGGGGTGTATCCTAGACCTCCAATCACGCCCAGGCCGCCAGCGTTTGATACGGCAGCCGCGAGGGGACCACCAGATGTGCGCGCCATGCCGGCGAGTATTATTGGGTACTGGATGCCCAGCAGCTTCGAAAGCGGCGTTTGCAATGACGGGGGCGACATGATGGTGTAGGCCGTAGTGATTGAATGGCGGATGTTTGAAGGAAGATAAAATTATCACGTCGGATACTCCGAACGTAGGTTCAAGTGGTATGCTTCTGACAGAGCTGAAGCTGTATGTGACGGCATAGCGAGCATGGGCATGTGGATGCTAAATAGCGGCCGTGCCTGGAGGTATGCTCGACAGCCAGGGGTTTTGCGGGGAAAACGTGGGTGCATGAGCCGAGGCATCTACGATTCGACTCGTCAACGTCTCTTACAGTTCACCGTTACCGAGATTCACCCGTCTCTCATGGAACAACAATGTATACGTGAAGAATGTTCAACACTCGAGACTAGCAAATCATTCTAGCCATTGCCCATGATGCGAACTGTCATGATTTCGGAGCCATTTTATTGGATACAATAACAGTGTCATTGTCAGGAACCATGCTGAAAGCTACTACGATCAACATGTTTGTAGTCGAGTTCAGACATCGAGCTTATGTGCACATAGTGTATACAGCCACCTTGCTCTACCACTAGGTCTCCCCATGTTCTGCTTCCTCCAATGCATGAAAGTCGGACGTCCTGCTCATGGTGATGTTCATCCACTTATGTCCTTCATCAATACGATCTAGCTACGCTATGATGTCCTCAAAACAACGTGCAAGTTCTGTTAGAAATGGCATATTAGAAGCGACATTTGCAGATTTTCAAAGAGATGGCTGGAACGAAGAGTGAGTGTCTATGATATTGCTATTAGCGTTTGACTCCATTCATTTGCCCATTGGCTTGTGTGTGCCCGTTGACTTTTCCCTGCGCAGCTTGAGGCTGCGGTGGAGGTGGCGGGACAGGCCCGAATGGTCGACGCTCAGGTGCCGGTTCAACACCGTCTTCCTCAGTATCGTCGTCGTACTCTGCGCTATCTTCGTCCTCGTATTCGTACTCACTCTCCGTAACCTCTTCATCCTCCTCGTCGTGCTCCTCGTGATCCAGCTCGTGCATCGGTACCTGCCCCCGACCCTGTGCTTGCATCCCACGACATAACGTTTCCAGACGAGCAATCTTCTTTCGCTGGTCTTCGGTTTCTTTGGTCCTCCTGGCAAGCTCTTCTTGCATTTTCTGGCGTTCTTCCACCATTTCGCCAATATTGCGGTTGGTAATATCCTTGTGGCGTTGTAGATTTTGGTTCTCCTTTTCGAGACGTTTAGTCTTCTTGGACATTTCTTCCATCTCCTTGCGGAAAGTGAGGAAAAGATCGTTCGAGTTGTTGAGCGTTTCCTCGACCTGCATCTGGTCAGTATTAACCATGATGATACAGACCAACGAGGGGTTAACGGGTTGACTTACCTGTTTGAACTTCTCCACGTATATGTTGAGCTGCGTACGTAGCTCAGTCTCGGTCTGGGAAAACGTTGACACTTGACGGGTCAACTGATGCGACTTTGACGACTCCGCTTCCTGTTGTTTGCGCTGCTGCTCCAAACGAGCGGCGTGATACTGTATTTCGAGCTCTTTGAGTCGGAGCATCGAGTGGTATTGCAGTTCGCGCAGCTCGTACTGGTCAATGAACGACTTGAACTTTTGACGAAACCTAGTTGGGTCAGTTCGTGCCGCAAAGGCCGAGTGCGCCAGACTTACAGTTCATCTAGCTCTTGCTCGGCTTGATTCTGAGGTTCCGGCCCATTTGCAGCTGCTATGCAATCATCCACGTCGTTGACAAGGTGCTCAAGACGCTCGTGCAGTTCCTGCCTGGCGGTTGATTCGCTGCTCTCAATCTTGTGTAGTTCGTCCTTGAGTTTCTTGTTTTCTTTTGCAAAGTCACGCGACAGTTTGTCGAGTTTATCCTTCATCGTCGTGACCTTGTTCAGCTCAGACCTTTGCGCATCCTTCTCTTTTTGCAGTTGATCTCCGCGCTTCTTCGCTTTCTGGTGTTCGCGCTCCGTGCGCTTCATATCGGATAGGAGTTCGGTATATCGTTTCTGTACGACTTCGAGACGAGACAGCGGGCCGTCCATGTTGGAAAGGAGCGAGGAGAGTTCACGGTTTGCTTTCTTGACTTCGCGTTCTGTCCATGCCATACGTCAGCCAGCGATTCACATGATAGAGCCCCAGACATCGACTGCGCCACCCAGAATGTCCCCTCTTCCGCAGCTCCGTCGCAAGATGTAGACGCACCGATTTCTAGTTCCTGCTCCTTGTCCCCTGCCTGATCCAGCTCGAGTTGGGCAATCTTAGCCTGGATCTGCTTCTGCTGTTCCGAGGGGTCTGTCGCCTTCTTGCCCTTGCCCTTTTTGGCAGGCGCAGGCGCCGGGTTGTGTTGTGCGGGTGCCATGTTTGCAGGAGAGGCAGATGCACTGCGGCTTGCTTCGTGGTGTGGTCGGGACTGGGCAGACGTCGGCTGGCGCTGTTGGGCGACTGTTGCCATGAAGTCGTGACTCTTCCGTGTAGCGCTTCAGCTGTGGATCCCCTCGTGTTGCCCCCGATGGTTCCTCCGCCTATGCACTCAATCTCATGTATCCCCAGCGTGGTCCCCTATGCAGCCAAGTTGCGCATCCGTCTTGCAGCGGCCGCCTCTCTACAATGCGCGTCCAGAAGGTAGAAGTTCTCCGCTGACGTCTCGGAACTGCTTCGGGTGAAAACAGAGGTCCAGCGCAGTGCAGGTGGCGTCAACGGGTATGGTGTAGCAATATGTGAAGTGTCAGGTCATGCAGTCGTCGGGGTCGGATCGGGCAATGTCTCGTGGCGGGTGTTGAAGAGGAAGGAGGGGAGGGAGTCGGTGGTCTGGTCGATCGCGGAAAGGCACAAGACACCTGGTAGTCTCCACAACGCCCACGAGCTTCAATATCGGACCTGGCAGATGAGATCAGTGACAAAGTAGCCAATCCGACCTGTCTCCAGTCGTATAACGCATCAACCGCCCATACAGGTGCACTCTTCCGTCTTAGTAATTTTGCGGGCTAATCTCTTTTGGTATGGGGTCCCTCGGCCAATCGGCGCGACAGGCGTCATCGAAGGCGGGTGCCTCTGACATTTCTGTGAGGCGGCGCGACATTCTGTCATCAATCCTCTATTCCAAACATGCTGCGTTCCGTTGGTCGGCAGTTTCAGAGCCCTCGAAATGCCACGATAACCCCTCAACGATTGTCCACTCTCTCTCGGCGTGGATATGCCGCCGTTACCGATGTCTCCAACTTTCCGAATGTCGGCGAGCAGCTGCATGGCTTCACGCTCAAGCGCGTCAAGCAGGTACCAGAGCTGGAGTTGACGGCTTTGCACCTTCAACATGACAAGACTGGCGCCGAGTATCTGCACATTGCCCGTGAGGATGCCAACAATGTCTTCTCCATCGGTTTCAAGACCAACCCGCCGGATGCCACTGGAGTGCCGCACATTCTCGAGCACACCACATTATGTGGTAGTGAGAGGTAAGATAGACTTTCAGTGCGCTCATTCTATCGCTGACGTTCCAGGTACCCCATTCGCGACCCCTTCTTCAAGATGCTGCCCCGCTCACTTTCCAACTTCATGAATGCCTGGACGTTCGCCGACCACACTGGCTATCCGTTCGCCACGACAAACGCGCAAGACTTCAAGAACCTCATGTCCGTATACCTCGATGCGACGCTACACCCGCTGCTCAAGGAGAACGATTTCACGCAGGAGGGGTGGCGGCTAGGGCCCGAGAACCCATTGGCAAAAGAGTCAGAGGACCCGAATGCGAAGCGCATCGTGTTCAAGGGCGTGGTGTACAATGAGATGAAGGGTCAGATGTCGGATGCAAGCTACTTGTTCTACACCAAGTTCCAGGACCACCTCTACCCGGCCATCAACAACTCTGGCGGCGACCCACAGAAGATTACCGACCTAACTTGGGAGCAGCTTCGGAAGTTCCATGCCGACCACTACCATCCCAGCAACGCTAAGATTCTCACCTACGGAGACATGCCTCTGGTCGAGCATCTGAAGGAGGTGGACAGTCGCTTGAACAGTTTTGACAAGATAGCCGTGGATCAGGAAGTGAAGGCACCAATAACTCTGGACGGCCCGAAGCAGGTTACGGTTGCCGGTCCTTTGGACCCATTGGTACCTCAGGACAGACAGTACAAGACTTCAGTCACATGGTTGATGGGAGATACTGCAGACGCCGTGGAGAACTTTGCGCTTGGTGTGCTGAGCAGTCTGCTTATGAGTGGGTATGGCTCGCCTCTGTACCGCAATCTTGTGGAGTCTGGACTTGGTGCCGATTTCAGTGCCAACACCGGCTACGACAGTGCAGGCAGACGAGGGGTGTTCTCCATTGGACTAGACGCTGTCAAAGCAGACGACGTAGGCAAAGTTCGCGAAGCCATAGCCGAGACCCTTCTCGAAGCGCGCAAAAACGGTTTCGACAAGATCAAGGTTGATGGCATCCTGCATCAGCTGGAACTTTCGCTCAAGCACAAGACTGCCAACTTTGGCATGGGTATCCTCCAAAGGCTGAAGCCAGGCTGGTTCAACGGTATCGACCCGATGGAAGCCCTCGCATGGCAAGATACTGTCAATGCTTTCCAGCAGAAGTATGCTGAAGGCGATTACCTGGAGAGCTTGATTGAGAAGTACCTTCTCAACGACAAGACCCTGACTTTCACTATGCAGCCTTCGGAGACATTCAGCCAGGAGCTCGTAGACGAAGAAAGCCAGCGCCTGGCAGCGAAGATTGCGGAGACTACAAAACAGTTCCCGAGCGAACAGGAGGCACAGAAGTATTTGGAGGAACGAGAGCTCCAATTGCTAGAGGTCCAAGAGAAGGCCAGGAACGAGGATTTGAGCTGTCTTCCCACTGTTCACGTAAAGGACATTCCACGAGAGAAAGAGAGGAAGCCATTGCGACACACCGAGCTGGATGGCGTGAAGGTCCAATGGCGTGAGGCCCCCACCAACGGTCTGACTTACTTCCGTGCGGTGCACAAACTGCAAGACCTTCCAGACGAGCTACGAGAAATGATTCCACTGTTCACTAGCGCTATCATGCGTCTTGGTACCAAGGACAAGACGATGGAACAGCTTGAGGAACTGATCAAGCTAAAGACAGGCGGTATTTCCGTAGGATACCACTCGTCACAATCACCGTTGTCACTCAACGCGTACGAAGAGGGCATGGCATTCTCAGGATACGCTTTCGATCGCAACATCCCCGACATGTACGAGCTTCTCCGGACCATCATACAAGAAACGGACTTTGACGGCCCTGAAGCGGGCAAGAAGATCAGAGAGCTCTTACAGAGTGCAGCAAGCGGTGCCATCAATTCCATTGCAGAGTCTGGCCACTCTTATGCTATGAGATACGCCGAAGCTGGCATCAGTCCTGTCAGCCGATTGGCGGAAGAGACTGGAGGCCTTACCCAAGTCAAAGTCATGACGGCTCTCGCATCGCAAGAATCACTCGACGAGGTCATCCAGAAACTCAAAGCCATCCAGTCCTTTACTATCGCAAACAGCAATCAGCTCCGCGTAGCAATCAACTGCAGTAACGATAGCTCAACGTCAAACCAGGAAGCACTCCAACGCTTCTTGAACACCTTACCAAAGGACGTTTCTGTACCGACAACATCACAGCAGAAGCAGTACCCCCGCAACGCAAAGTCATTCTTCCCTCTTCCTTACCAAGTCTACTATTCTGCCCGCGCTGTGCCGACAGTAGCCTACACCGATGCCTCCAGCGCACCTCTCGAGGTCCTTGCTAAGCTCCTCACTTTCAAGCAACTCCATCCTGAGATCCGTGAGAAGGGTGGCGCTTATGGAGGTGGTGCCTACGCCCGTGGTCTTGGTGGTCTATTTGGCATGTACTCGTACCGCGATCCCAATCCGCAGAACAGCATGAAAATCATGGCTGAAGCAGGTCAATGGGCGCGAGACCGCGCATGGACACCTCAAGACCTCGAAGAAGCTAAACTAAGCACATTCCAAGGATACGACGCACCACAGAGTGTTAGCCGCGAAGGCATGAGGTTGTTCCTGTCCGGTGTCACAGATGACATGCTGCAGACGCGTCGCGAGCGTCTGCTCGATGTCACGGCTGAGCAGGTACAGGCCGTAGCAGACCAGTTCCTTGTCAAGCGTGCCGAGGAGAGCAGTGTCGCCATCTTGGGCGAGCGCAAGGACTGGGTTAAGGAAGTCGATGGCTGGCAATTCAGGGATCTGGGTATGTCAGAGAGCGCAAAGGCTGCCGAAGAGGCAGAGGGTATTGCGCAAAAGGAGGACGACGTGCCTGCTATCGCAAGCTGAGTCTCTCGATTGACGATATCATGACTGTAAAAGTAGATGTACGATATGAAGTGCGAAAGGCTAGCATCATTGGCGTTGGGTAAGTTGAATGCATAGCGTGGTGTCATCGCTCCTTCCTCCTTTACCATTTCACCATGAAGTATTTTGATTGCTATCTGTCTTATCGTCTTCGGGCCTACCTCCCCCCGAACCGTGCGTGGAACAAGGCATCTCTCATCTCCCTCTGTCGTACCTTCTTCACCAGCGCAACGAACAGATCCCAGACGGACCACGCATTCTCTCCCATTGCTGGTTCGCTCTGACCCTCAAACATGGGGATAATGCGCAAGAACAATTGTCATGCCATCTATCCAGTTCGCTCCTCGGCCGTCAAAAGTCAGAGGTGGAACTCGGGAAGGGGCATTGAGCACCTGCTTTCAGACCTGCCTGTATTGAGCGAGACTCTTCTCCTGGTAGACTAAATGTGGGGGTACACCAGATAGTGATACTCGAAGTGAAGGAAAAGACTGGTTGCGTTTGGGTATCTGGCTATGCACAATTCATATGTATATCTCTATCTCACCTTATAGCTCAATCTGGTCTTCGCTCTGCATTTGTCGCTCCTTCTCCCTGACCTCTGTCGCCTTGATAATGAGGCGACGATAATCTAGAACAGCCTGCTCAAGCTCTTTCCTCTTCAGCGCCTCGTGATCTGAATGCGCGACGAAAATAGAGCCTGGACCGTACAGGTACCTCTTGTGGTCACCAGAGAGCCATGGCACATCCGTCCCGTAGTTGACAGTCATTGTCTCAAAGCCCTCAATATCACAGTTTATATCCACAACTCCGTATCCCTCGCTTCCCCATTGTACTTCCAGATCTCCGCCTTCCTTCTGCGCGGCGGCCTTGACGTCCTTGAGTGCGTCGATAATTTGTCCGCGAACGAGATCGGGGGTTCCGGCGGCGAGGCGCGTCGCGATGTTTGCAGTCGCGGTTTCGGCGACAACGTTGGCTGCAACACCACCCTGTACGCGTCCAAAGTTCATAGTCGTGTTGCCGTATTTCTTGCTCCAAGGGAGGTGCTCCCTCAGCTTGAGGAGCTCGCCCAGTGCCTCCACCATGATGTCATTTGCGCTGACGCCCAACCACGGGTATCCTGAATGTGCCGCTTTGCCCGTGGCTTTGACCGAGAAGCCCAGCATGCCCTTATGTCCACAAACGAGTTTCGCTTCCGTGGGCTCTCCAAAGATGACGATCTCGTGTGACGATGGGCGCTTGTCCCAGTCGCTGAAAGCGCGCATGCCGTCGCCGCCTGTTTCTTCACCAACGACGAAGAGCAAGGATATATCGTCTTGTAGATGCCCTTTTATGCCTTGCGCTGCGGTGATCATGGGTGCGACACTGCCTTTCGCATCCACGCTGCCTCTGCCGCCAATGATGTCGGTCGTCTCATTGTAGTAGTACGGCCAGTACGGTGGCACCGTGTCGATATGCGATGATAGTACGATCGTAGTTTCGCGCTTGCTGCCGTAGGCTAAGAGGTTGTATCGGTCTTTGGATACTTCCTGCTTCTCGACGGTCCAATCGTGTGCGCGGAGATATTTGGCAAGCCAGTCGCCAACATCTTTCTCGTTTTCAGTTATGGATTCAGTTTTGACGAGTTTGCGGTGGAGGTACAGGAGGTCTTTTGACGCGTACGGGTCGAGGACGGTAGGCTCAAGTGGTGATTGGGGTGGTGGGACGACAGCGAGGGCGCTGATGGCCAATGCAAGAATTGAGAGGGTTCGAGGTATCATTTTTTAAAGTCAAAGAGCAATTGGTGTTGATGCAGTGCCTCGTCCGAAAAGCCGAGGGCGATAATGTCAGCAGTCGTCATAGGCAGGCTGCTAAGCTCCAAGCTTAGCTAGTCCATTCATCCCGGCCAACGCAACCCTCAATACCATCTCTCAGACCCCCAATTGTTCTTTGACCGGTATTAGCTTCAAAACCTTTGAAAGGTTATTGCTTGTCGCTGGGAGTGTTGTGCTTAGGTAAACCCTAGAGGCAAGCGTCATCGTGATAGATTATCAGCCCTCAAATGCAGCCTACGTCCATTAAGGAGATCTTGTTTTCCGTCACCGATGACAAGAAATAGCAGTGGAGAGCCTCCATCCAACAAGGAATGAGCACGTATAGCCTGAATGAGCGTTGTTCATGTGGAGGGCCAAGGGCTGTACACCGTGATTATGCGAATGATCACGCTCGTGTTTTGAGGTGCATACACCTCTTTGAAAGGACGCTTATCTTTTGAAGAGTGATGGTCATGCCAGCAAACACCAACTTGCCTCTCAATCTACACCGGAAGTTGTACAAGCAGTGACGGGTTGCCCAAGGTTGACAGGTGGCAGATTCTGTTTTGTCGCATGCGTCCTTTATGTCTCGCCCCAGATTCTGATACCACCATATCCAATGATCAAGCTAGGCTGAGAAAGCCTGACATGAAGCCTACCTGGAGACGCGGATGATTCCAAATGCTACGCATCTTACATACGTCTATTAGTCGACGCGCTTAGATAGCCATTTTGCCAGATATAACAATGAAGATAGGTCGTCTTCTCACCGCAGCGTCTTCTGGTACCCTCGTTAGGCTGAAAGTCTAAGTTTTCTAATTTCTTATCTTCCTGGAACACAACTTGATAACGGTTGATTTCGAAAGATGCCCTGTTAGAGCTCATCACGCGAATCCCACAACACAGTTTGGCGTATAGCCGCACAGTTGCAGATCTAGGCGACAACATTCACTCCGACGACAAGTATTCATGTTTCCAAAGAAGCGATCGTTTGGTCGTAATACAAGAAAACGAAACATCGTGGTGCGGAGGAGCTGCAGAGACAATGAACGTGCTCAACATGGGAAATACTGGGATCCGATATTTCTCCAGCGTCGCTGCACTGGTGACGTGACGCTTGTGGAGTTTCGGAGATTCATTGACAATGAGGCTGACAACATAAAGGAGCGGAAGAATGACAACAAAACATGTGGTGGGATCAACGTAGAGGGCTATGTTGAAGAAAGGGAGAAGCTTATCAAGGATGGCACGAATATCCGTAATGCAGAGGCAGAAGTAGGTGGTCCCAATAATAGCGCCAGTTCCTCGATGACGTTTTAACGACACCAGATGCAAGAAACCAATGCCTTGTTTAACGATGAGCTCAGCCATGACTTTCTCGACGACTGGGACGGATCCATCTCTACATGGGAGGCAAGAGTCGTGAGGCGCTTTTTCTCCAGCGAAGAGAGTGAAGAATCACTTAGAACTAATACCACAACGTGGGCTTGGTTGGATGACCGTGAGTACTGTACATCTCAAGGAAGGAAATATCCAAATAGGATGAGTGCAACGGATCTTTGCTCAGCTCTGACACAGAAGGTACTTCATAAACCCACGTTCTACACGTAAGTCACTGACAAACACAGCGTTATGAGCTTCCGGGTTTTGCGAATGTTGACCGGCGCTTGGTGTAAGCCAACATATGACCAACAACTGTACTTCCCACTTCACAGCTTGCTCATCAAACCATAGCTACGTTTCCAAGCTTACCCCGAGTTTCGTTCGAGCTCTCGCCGTTTCCACGTTGTCGCACCAAAAGACTTATCTGCGCGATGCAATCTGTCGACACATTGCTATGGAAACATCAATTCGGGTGCAGATCCCGGTGCGTGCGAGCTGCGTGTTCTCTAATTTCGAATCAAAAGTACCCTTACTTATACAAGAAGCAGGTGCACGGTTGGACGTCATTCTGTCTAGAATTTCACCTAGCGTATTTGACGTTAAGGAAAGTCAAGCCTACATCTATTGGCAACGCTACTGGAGTTAAGCATAAGAGCGTGGATAGAGTTTTGCTCGACTTGGCATGTCTTGGGTCACAGTCGTCTTCCAACGATGATATCTCTCAGCACCTCATTCAAGAAGCCAATGTCAGCGTTGTTGTATGCGGCTGGAGTGACACTCAGTGGACTGGGTGTGCTTTTGTCAATACCGGCATTGAGGTAGAGGAAGAAGAAGAAGAAAAAGAGGAAGAAGAATATGCTGATGATAGCGAAACTGAAGAGGAGACCGAAAACCAGTTTCAGCAGGATTTCCTGGCAGCTGAAAACAGTTTTCACTATGCCGTAGACGCAAATACGCCAGAATGGGATGCACGTAAGTACTGGTTGAAAGTCCTCTCAATACGCTGCCAGCTGGTATGGAAGGAATGGCAGTATCTCGTCCGTACAGTCGAAGATGCAATCGAAACATGGGTCAGTATCGCGTTGAGCTCAAGACTTGGCCTAACTTAATTCATTTCCAGAAGTCTAGCGATCTCTGCTTTGACAGTATGAACCAGTCGATCACCGATCCTGGGGCTTTACGCAAATCATTGGACCGAACACTCCAAGCAATACAACTCCTACGCACGCTTCAAGACTCCTTATCTATGACACTCCGCGCTTACAGAAGGTTCGAAGAATCTGGAGGAGATAAGTGCTACTTTTCCGATATGACCGGTCGCTACATCGCTTCCGTTCACGCCGAGATCAAGGAGTCTTTCCAAAAGCTCGCAGATCTCCACCTGAGACTCGGATCACTGAGTGCCTCTTGCACACATATTTCCAGCCATGTAAGTCGACGAATGCTCCAAATAATCACCTAGTTAATAGCAAACCTAGCTGGGTCACGTACTAGATCTAGAGGCTAACCGGTTGACATTCGAGAGCATTCAACTGAACAGAGAAAACAATGCGCTTAGCATGCGAAGTCATGACTTAACGGTCGAGAGTAACGAGCTGAACACGGAGAGCCACAGGTTGAACAGAGAGAGCAACAAACTCAACCTTGAAAGCAATCAACTCAGCAAGGACAGCAACAAGATCAGCATGGATAATCACGACCTGAGCGAGCGAGCACACAAGTTGAATCAACGTACGAGCATTCTCAGCGACAAGATGCGCGAGATCAATGAACTGAGCATGAATGCCGCCCTAGCGAACCAAGCCGCTGCTGCGAAGACGAGCAGTAGTACGCGCGTGAGCGTTGAGGTGGGTCTGAGAGCCTAGCTAAGCTGTCTGCTTGTTGATAATGCTCCAGTTGCTCCTCTTCACAACGCCATTACAGATGGTCCTCCAATACTTCGGCTCCGAAAAGGACATATTTGCATTTGACCGCAATCCGAAGTCATTCGTATTGGTCTCGGTCATATTGATGGTTATACTTCGACTCTTGACTCTACTATTCGAGCATGCGCACTCTCTCCTCAAGATCGTCCCATGGAAAGAGTCGATCCAGGTAAATGCAGAAATGCGACAATCGTCTCTAGAACAGGCTGGTAAGGACATGACATCTCACCAAAGATTTGTTTGAAGCTGACTTTCGAAGATGGCGTGGAGCTGGAGATCGCAGAACGGGTCTGACTGGCTCAAGCCTCCAGGACGCACACGAACCTTAACGTTTTATCTTAGTCTCGTGGTTGCTAGTGTCTCGGCCATCTGTGCATTGGATAGGGCAGTAGTAAATCTTAATTCCAACACCGTTCGCCTTCGGACTATGACAACTTTGTAGAAAGCGGATCTGAATCTTCTTCAGATGGAAAATCCTCTCAGTTGGCCAAACTTTCGATGCTTCCGTCCGGTACCTTCCAGCATTGTGACTTCCATGTCCGACCATCAATTACGGCGCTGATTCGGTCCGCTTGAGTGTATGGCGTTGTGTTGGAGTGATTATGCTTGTTGTCCAGGTCGTGCTTGTTAATGAAATAATCCGGGTAGTATGCCCAGGTATCTAGATAATGTCTCTTCTACTATTCCTCCTACGTGCTATTTTGTAGCGTTGAGGTCGTTCTCAATAGTGATGAGTAAACAGTCATGCACTTTAGACGATATGAATCTTGATAGTTCTCCGAAATACCCATTTGTAAAAAGGCTTGTCATCCTGGCTGTGATGTGGTTGCGATCGGTGCGCATCCAAGCCCGCCCTACCTGTGACCAACCACAAACGGACGGTGCTGAGGTTGCGGCGCCCTCACCTATTGTTTCATTAACTTGGCTCTACTGAATCACTATGCATTACCAAAAATATAGCTAAGCTTAACCATATCATGTCGAACTACATAAAACTCCACACTACTGGATACACATCAAATTCCTGCTTATATGTATGTTGGCGCGGCCACGCGCGGCCACGCGCGTTCTAGGATCCGTCTAGGGTATCTGATGTGCTTCACCGTGCGCCCAAACATCTTTCTGAATTCCCAGTAGGCAGAAGGTGGCAGTGGGATTGGGATGTCCAGGAAGTCATAGTAGCTGTCATACTCATTCTGTGTGTCGAAGCCTTGCTGCTCGATGGCGCAGATGTTTACTCCAGACGGATATCTGCTCAGAATGTCACTCGAAGACATTTGTAGCTCAAGCTCGACGATAGCTGGAGTAGGCTATTATGTTCCATGTGAGATGCTCGTTGCTAATGCGGATAGATGATGGGAAGTTGCAGCCATGGTGGACAGTGTGGCAGCCTGGACGATGGAGTGGTACAGGCTCCCATAACGCACGACCTGTTGTGCAAGGAGAGCAAAAGATAAACTTAGAAATCAACAGGCCAGCTTGATTACAAACTTCTTCAGTACTCGGAAAGATATCTGATTGTGGCGATAAGGTGCTGTGCAGAATTCCGCCAACCACTTGCTGTTGTCATGGGGAAAACGCAAGAAGTCCAACTGGCAGCTTTGTGCCGAAGTACAACACATTGACAGAATCCATGTAGTAGCTGATGGATCGCTATGTGCACCATTCTCGATAGGTCTGAAACGGTTGGGCTTATGCCTGAATATGCTGATGGGCCGTCATCGTTATACACATGGCCGCGATCAAGGGAATCGAGGCCCTAAGCGCTATTAGAGCACTGATGACGCCGTTCCTGGCATAAAGCTTAGATCTTCGAAAGAAATCTTGGAGCATCGCGCTTCAAACTTCCTTGCATCCATAAAAGATCTCAGTTCGGCCAGATTTTCTACCTACTGGGCTCTGAACGCCCCATCGCTGTTACCCTCGAGCCGGTCTCGAACACCTATTCAAGAAACATATACGCTTTTGGACCCCTCAACATCTTGCTAAGGACGATATCAAGTCCATCATTTCAGTAGAACATAACGGTCGCTTTGGTGAATTTACAGATCGCAATACTAGGAAGGGCTTTGGTATCGAATTGGGGATAACGAGAAGTCAAGAAAAGTACCAGATCGCATATCATGGTAAGTAAGCAGACAGAATATCCCATCGATTACCCAGAGATTCTCCAGCTCACATTGTTGGGCTAAGAAAAAATACATCTATGTCTGGCAGTGTTGCATCTGCGGCCGGCCAAGCATACCAATCCAGATCCAGGCTTGTGCTAGTTGTGGACATGGGCGATGCGATAACTGTACTGTTACCAAAGTCCAAACGCGGTAATGGAAACTTGGCAGCTCTAGCTTCAATTAAATTGTGCACGATCTTTTATTGCTTTAGTTGCTATGCTTCGGTCTTGCAGTAAGCCAAAATTGGCGACTCACTTACAACTTCCCAAAGTTCCAATATGTCTCCACAAGACCTCAGAAGAGTACGCTGAAATTAGTGCAATTAAGAGTATAGCAACCTCAGCTTCACGAAGTGAGCTAATTCAACCAGTGGTAACATTATTTCCTTCGATGTCAAATGTCGAAGTGCTATGATGCTGTGCCGTCTTCGCATAGCGGTACGTAAGTGGACCAATAGGAACTATCCTAAAAATAGAAATGATTAGACTTTGTGAGTCATCCGGTTAACACTTGAAACAACGTTGGTACAAATATGTTTTATCGCTGTTTGCTTCTGTGCACACAAAAGAAGCATCTGGCATGGCGAGCATCAGAAGAAGTAACCTAGTGCAGATTGTTTCAGTTGCTGTGTGCAGGCGGGCAGCCTTCAATATGCCGATGTCACCTAACCTAGCTATGGCACACGTTTAGTCGAAGACGGTTCCACCTAGATAAGCTAATGCATCGGCGTGCGAGCAATTTCGGGCACGTATGACGGCGGATGGAGCTGTTGGATCACTTAAGAGTAGCCACACGGAGGAGAAAGAGAGAGATAGAGGGGAACATGGGATGGAAGATCAGCACCTAGGGAGCAGAAGTGGGGACTCTGAGTGGCCCTGACCTGGTGGATATACCTCCCGGATGACCCCTCTCATACCAGGATTACGCCTTTGATACCCCTGAGTGACCCTAGATCTTGGGCGTGTAACAAACATTGTACGCTGTACGGTTACTAGACTGGGCCTTTATCTTGGATCCGATGTCGGAAACGACAGCCACCAGTATCGGTGCAATCTGAAGGTCAGCAAACATCGTACATCGATCATGGTTCCGTTGGTAAGATTGCATTCCTATCCTGTTCCGTCTTGGGAGGTTCTGCTGGCTTTCCAAGTTCAGAACTTAAATACCCACAGAACAGCACCCAAGATTATCCATCCGATTCAACGAATTTCCGCTCTATATCCCCTAAAAAGACGGCAAGTCCTCTTGGATCCCACTCTATTCATACTTAGACGCTCTTTTCTATGAGACCACATCACTATATGGAACCTCTATTGCGGCTTCCATTAGTGCCTCGACAGACGCTGGGGAGAAAAAGGCATATCTATACTTGGCAGTGTGTATGTAATTCTGCATAGAGATATCATTCTACACGAATCAGACCTGACAACATTACAGGATGCGTGCGGTCAACCTTCACTACCGTTAGCTACTACTCTTTGCCCTTGTGGCCACATCCGTTGTCATACTTGTCAGATTACCAAGGTCCAAGTAAGATAACTCTAAGATTCGGCTACTTACTAGTGTTTGGGAAAGCAAGGTACGGGTATGACGCTTTTGTATGAAGGTCTTAGCAATACAGATAGTGAAGAATATATGCCTAAAGATCGAGCATGTGATTGACCAAGCATTGGTATAGACTTGTGGAACTGCGATTAACATACCAAGGTACATAGATAGTTGGTCAAGGTTATTCCTAGAATCACGATAAGTCTTGAACCGTTGACTGGGGTCGTACAGTATTTTCTGTATCTGGAAGTCGAGTATAGAATCATCGGCTTACCCCAGTTTCTTACTATCTCTGGCTGAAAATCTTAGGTACCACAGTGAAGCGTCTTAAGGTCAATCGCGTCATCCTGTATGCATCTGTTAGTTCTTGTACTGCTAGGTATCGAACTCGCTCCACCTGATGACAACCCTACAAGGTTGGTTGATGGTGGGGCGGGAATCTCTAGGTGCGTGTAGTACTCATGCTGTCTGAACACACTTTAGACAACTTTTCTGTACATGCGCCCTCCATCATTCGAAACTATTGACTTTCCTACTAGCAGTTGTGACGAGATGATACGATGGTTAAAAGCAAGTAGGCAAAGATATACTGCATGTAGTATACTATGCGCTAGCCTCATGCCCTCCTGCATGGGTTCTTATGTCTTCATTATCCAAGAGTTGACGTCAAAGCAAAGCTGAGGTCTGCACTCTGAAGCTACGGTCTGACTCTGCACCATTAAGCACGAAGAATAGAATTCTTATGTAGCGAATTGTGTGTATGAGCGGGTTGATCATGCCTGTCAATCGCTAACATCGAACGTACCTACTTGGATAGGTAGTTGCTAGGTATACAATATCCGCGCTGCCTCACGCAAGCCAAATCACCGCGCAGCTCCGGTTGTCTTGCTCTCCGAAGCCACTCTTATGCTTCGAAAGGTGTCTCACGCAGCGAGTGGAAACAAAACACGTGTTCATGTATGACGTTCAGTGCCAGTCCTACAAAACGGCATGCCTACTCTGAGACTACCTTTTATTGAGTATCGATACCTAACGACACTCGCTCTTACCAAGAAATCTGTCAGAAAACTTGTTTAAGCCGGATCCAGCGATTCCTTAGTTAATCTTGTATCACTCAAGCTTCGTTTGGATTTTGTCGTGTAACCTTGACTACCAGCCTCGGCCCCTTGAGCCTACAAAATACAATCTCAGGAATTGGTGGCATCCAGAAACTAACACACG